CCGCCGCCACCGCCGCCGCATGGGACCGACGGCGCGGAGCGGCAGGAGAGCGGCCGGGCGCCCGCGGGGACCTGCGCTCCGCCCCAGCGCGGAGCCGCCCCCGGGCGCTTAAAGCGGCAGCGGGCGGTTACCAGGCGCCCCGCGGCGCTCCGGCAACCACGTTACAGCCGCTTTGTTACACCCGGCCCGCGGCCCCGCCCTCCGCCTTGCCACGGGGCGGCCCGGAGCCGCCCGGCAGCGCCTCAGCGCCCGCCCCAGCGCCGCCCCCATCGCGGGGCTGCGCCCACGGAGCGACCAGGACCGGAGCCGATGCATCGYCGGGGCAGGCGCGACTGACGCGGCGGCCCAAACCGCCATGGCGGGAACGCCAGAGGCACCGTGCGCCGCGCCCGCTGCCTTAAAATGCGGCTGCCGGGGTCCCGCGGCGGCTCCGCACCGCCCTGCAGCCTGATGGACGTCGCGCCCCGCCAATCCCAGGTGGCCGTTGCATCCCGCTGGCCAATGAGCGGGCGGCGCTCGGTGCGGAGGCGGCAGCGCGCTGCGCGGGACAGCCGTTGGGGCCCCTGAGGCGGCGGAGCTCATTCCTCCCCCGAATGGCGGCTCCGGGGAGAGTCTGGCTAAAGGAAGAGGCGACAGCGCCGCTCCCGCCGCCCTCTGGCCGCTCTCCTCAGCCCTCAGCTCCCGCCCGTGTGGCGGCGCTCCCACGCTGCTCAAGCACAAGGCAAAGCAGCCAAGTACGGGGCTGTGCAGTTAAAAACACTAAAGTTTTTAAGCCCTTGCATCACAAATAGTGTCACGGCTAACGCAGGACATCAACGTTCTTGCACCCAGCAGCGCCTTGGTTTGGGCCAGGGRCTCCTCCGAAAAGTCAGTCAGGATGAGGCTCAGAGGCAGCTCGAGGGCTGCTCGGAGCCGCCTGCTTCACAAGGCGGATCACAGAGCGCCGGTKGCGGGAAAAGCACCGGCCTGCTGCGGGGCGCTGCGGCTTCGGAGGAGCCGCCGACACCGCGCTGCCCGGCCCCCTTAGCCAAGTACCAGTGCCGCACAGAGCAGCCTGGCCCCTTCTCACAAATGAAGAAGCAAAAGGCAGCGGAGAAGAGGTACTGCGATGAGAACAAAAAGGGTGCTGTTCTTTCCCATAGGGGAAAAAAAGGAAAAAAACAGAAACACCTTAAAAGATATGGTGATAAAAAATAACACACAGCTGTGAAGTCCACACTGTTACCACCATGCTTTCATAACATGCACCTGCCCTGGCCACAAGTTCATTTAATGAATTATGGGGTTCTGCTGGTGACGTTTTCAGTAAAACACTGGAAGAGTGTCCTAAGTACGAGGTAACCTGGAAAAGCTTACAAGTACACTTATGCTGGGGTACCAGAGATGCAACTCTCTCTACTGCCTTTGTATTTCTAACAGCCTTTTTTTTTTTTTTTTAATTAGTTTCAATAATTTATATCTACATTCTTATATTTTTCTCTTTGCCCCTTTTCCATACTCCAGAAGTAATATATTTCTCATRGGAACTATTCATTTGAGGTTACATTAAGGACACTTGGTGGTAATTTCTATTCCATGTAAGATGCTTACAAGACTGAATTTTCTGTAATAGCAAATGAAGTAAGGRTTGTTGGTGGCTATCTTCTTTACATGGAAATCAGTGATTCCTTTGAAAAAAAAATGCCTACATGGTGTTATYCTGTTTTCACTTGCATTCAACTCCTAATTAAATAAAGCACTCCATCCTTGAAGCAGAAATTATCCAAGCTTGGGGACTGCATATCRTGTATAGCTTCTTAATACTGTTATTTGTACTCAAACTTTCATTACAGGCCAACGTTATTCAAAGTTTTAGGTGGCATTTGTGTGAGCTGATATTTAGCTTTAGCTAAGGTATCTTGGGCAACAGAAGCAGGATAGTGGGCTATCCAGTGCCTAGGATCCTGCAATACATACACTTCTTTTTAAATTTCAAGCCTATGCTTTGTAAATTTGTCTCGTGACATGCATTTAGGAGACAAACATGAGTAGAAACTGAAGCCTGTCAGCCCTCCCTTGCAGGTTGCTTATGTGCCTTTGACAACATTTTAAATAGTTTTAATTGTCCATTAGTTCTCATTAGTAGTAGTTACAGCCTTTGTAAGCACAGAAAATAACCCTCTTTTTCCCCATAAAAATATCTACTACATATGCTTTATCAGTTTTAGCATTGTTTCTTACAGCTTTTAGTATAATTGATCTGGCAAAATTCACTTTATAAAATGCTAGCTTTAATACAGATACTTTTGCCTCATACTACTTTGTTATTACAATAAATTCTAATTACTAGTTTTAACATTTGGGGTTATATTAAATACTTAGGCTACAGTGACATCTTGTGGCTTTTTAACTTTAGTTTTGAACTTYAATCTTCTTGTCCTGTTGCATCATTTTAAGGCAATGTCCTTATTAATGACTTTCTGAGGCCAGCTTTGTGTTAAACTTGTATTACTTCTTGTTTATTCAACCCATTTTTCGATGTATGTGACTTTAGATATTTTTGAATCCTATATACTGGATGAACACTGATTCATATAGAACACTCAGTGTGGATGACGAATCCGTAGAGATTTCAAGTTACTGCTAAATGACACCTAGATAATGTCTTAGAATAAATCATCATGTGCATATTGTTTTCTCAAAAATATGAATTCTTATTAGAGTCCAGTAGAGTCAAAGAATCTTGAAACACTTTTATAACAATCAAGGAATAATTCCTAATTGATTTTTCTACAGTGAAATAAGTAATAGCTTGACTTCGAAGCTGTGGAAAATGAAACAGGCTCTAATGATTTTTTTTTTAAATGTTGCTRTTAAAAAGAAGCATCTAAATTAGCACTGAAGATCCTATTTAGTAGCCCTGTCTTTTGTACTGGTGATCTGCACCTGACATTAAAATATCTCTTAAAAATATGTATTTTACCTGTTACTTGAGACAATTTGTTATTCAGCTTCCAAATGGAATCCGTTATCCTACAAACCGAGGGCAAAGGTGTTACACRTAAGAAATCACTGACCTTAAACAAAACTTACTGACCAAACCCAAAACTCTCAGAAAACCCCACACAACTCCACTGCTACAAAAACAGAGGAGAAAAATAAATCCGTCCATTTCTAAACACAAGTTGAGTATCAGCAAGAACTGCAGTTTGACCTTTTAATCTTCCTTGATATCCAAACCTAACAGCTCAAGGCTGTGTTTTCTGAGGGCTTTGTGCCTGCCCTTTGTGGGCCTTGCTTAAGTTTAAGTGAATATACATGCCCACAAGTACCTGTTTTTTTATGYTTGTTTCTTTGATCTTAGTGCTGGTCATGAGAACATAATGTACATATTTAACACAGGAAAACTTACACAATAATCTGAAATACTCTGAAAATAAGTGCAAAACAAATCTATGTATTTTATTYGACAATGGTACAAATTAAGTTACCAGTATAATAAAAACTTGTTCTATTAATTCCTTGACAGATACAGAAAAGCAACGTCCCTTCCTCCCCCTCCCCGCAAAGAAAACCTACCTGAAATAAACAACCCAGGACTAAGATTTGGCTGAGATGACAATTCATGCCACATTTTTAAAGCAGGTAAACAACATCTGTGAATCTTCACAATTTTAGTTGATACTGCACAGAACAGAAATTACAAAAGACCAGTAAGTTAATGAAAGGCAATAAGGTACCATTAGGAAATTTGCATTTCTGAAGAGACCACAGATCTATTTGTATACTACGTATGTTTACATCACAATAATTGAAATCTACTTTTCACTATCACAACAAAATCTAGCAGCTTTTACACTACCATGTTAAGATTTTAACCGTTAAATCTTGCAATAGTACTAGGAAGACTTCACTGAATGTAGAACAAATCCTCCAATACTGAAAAAAACAAGGCAAGGCAAAATAGCCTCTCTTCTCATCAAGTTTAAACTCTGCAGCCAGAATCAGCCCAGTTGTAAAGAACTTACTACATTTTTCACATYGTCTTTTTGTTGAGCTAGCCTCTTAAAAAAATTATATACCATTTGTGTACTAGAAATAAGCTATTACTGATCGCTCATGGATTCCTTTGCACTGCTATTGAGAATTCATTAAAAGCCAATGCTAACATCTTCTGTAGATGCCAGACTTCATTCTACTCTGTGATCCAGCAAAATTACTGCCTTTGGTTCATTTCCTCTCCATACCACACAACAAATTCTGTAACTGCAATGAAAATGGTTTTTGCCTTATGTTAGCACAATGTTTCCAGATTAAAACCGAATCCCCCAAAAAGCTATTAATGATAACTCTATTTCCTGCTATAGATAAGGTCAAAGATTGAATGTAGTCAGGCCCTCCCTGACTCTACCTTAAAATACCTTTTATAATGTTTTATCCATTCACTGTACAGCAATTTAAATCCATTCTCACAGCCAGCAAAAGCAGAGATGAAAGGAACCATAAAGCAAAGCGAATATTTCACTGAAAGAAAAGTTTAAAAAAAAATAGTGGACCTATAATATTACAAAATATACACCCTGGACTAAATGTAAAACAGCTTACTCCTATATGGAATTGTAAACAAGACATTTTTAAAACTAGGCTCTTTCGGGCACATTTTGTAACACTGTACATGCAAAATACCAAAACAAAACTAAATACTAAAGGGAGTGTTAATAAGGAACATGATACCTAYTTGTTTTGGCAGCACATGTAAGAATCATATTTTATGTAATCATTTTTCTTACATTGCCAACAGCTAGGTTTTACCTTGCAACTGATAAGCATCATTTCAGCAACTCCAGAAAAAAAAGCAGCTGTATCAAAGAGATCATTATCCACTACCTTAGTGATCACACGTGTTGCAGGTGATGGTTTTAGGACTTAGATGGCTCAGGGCTGAGTGTGCTCCTTCTGGCTTGCTTTCATATCAGCTTCAGGGACTTCTCAGAATACAGAATAATACCTTACATACAAACTGCAAAGGRGGGGTTGTACAGGGGTCTAGAAGCCTGGCCAACAGCTTGCTGTAGCCCTTCTACAGGTTCATGGGGAACTGAGGAGAAAGGCGGGGAGGGAAAAGGAAGGAGATGTCTCAACATGCAAATATCAAAAATATGCCCAGACATCATGTCACTAGATACATATATTACAAAAAAAAAAAAATTATATATATATAATACATATAAAAGAAAGGTAAATCAAAACTCTTGCTACTGTGTAGGAGTGCATTTTTGTGTGCAAGTTTCTCAAGAACTGCCCTGTAACTAACTGTAAAAAGCTTCTTGTTTTTGTAAGGAACAAGGATGATTTTATTACACCTAAACATCAGCATAGAGTCTTCACAGAAAAAGGAATACATTAAAAAATGAAAAAGGTTATGAGTATGTATGATCAAAATGCAGTAACCTACACCTTACTCCTTGCACGTAGTACAATTCACAGAGTATTGTTTAATATCTGCCCTCTTAAGCAGATTAGCTTACATTTTATTCTTGTGATTGGCATAATTAGGAAAACCAAACTGAGAAATCATAATATTAGAATATTTTAAGGGCATGCCATCATAAATATTAACCAGCTTGTTCACACAGTAAGATCTCTGCAACAAATGCTCTGCTCTGTGCCACATTCCAGAATAGCCACTGTTAGTGTCTTTTTCTAAATTTCGTATATCAACAGGCTTTACAAACACTCCCGAAGACTTTCCAGTATTCTTTGCTACTAGAAAATTCATGGCAATATCATCACAATTCTGAGTTTCATCTATTAAGGCATAAACAGCTTCTGGCTGTTTCTGAAAGTCCTCTAGGTACCCACTGTGGAAAAATGCTGCACCAATGAGAACCATGGAGTACTGGTCGCCGTTTCCAGACCCAGGGCTTTGCAATTCAAAGCTGCCGTACGTGTATACACCCGAAGGAGTAGAAACGTGCTTCCTAGGAACAAATCCCACTATTTGCTCTGGAAATTGCTGAAAGAAAAAACAAGTTATCAAAATAATCAAAATAAATCAAAAATCTTGAAAGAGAAATCTTCCTTTTTTTTGATTGCCCACATACAATCTTCAGTAGGTAGAGAGAGAGAGAGAGAGAGAGAGAGAGAGAGATAAATATTTTGCAGCCTACTAATTGATTTAAACACATTAAATAATCAACAGCTTCAGTGTTCAGATGTAAGAATTTGAAAAACTGTAGAATTTGAAAGATTACAGACAAAACTTCCATGGAAGAAAGATTTTGCAATTTCTACTACTTAATACCTCATTTTAGTATTTAACTTTACAATTATAACATCAATAGCAATACACTTCAATACCACTGTTACGATACTACATTGCTTTTTAGAATTATAACTATTTATCTCAATTATATCTTGTAAATATTACCTGTGAAGGTTAAAAAAAAAATTACCTGCCAAACAGAGAAGGCAAAAGCAAGGTCATGGGCACTGACTAGAGTATCATCATCCATCATCAAAACAGCTGGAAGGAGCGAAGGAAAAGAAGTACTTGTCAGATGGCTCAATACCTGACTCCATTACACAGTACGTTGCTTGACARGTTAGCTGGAAACTTCGATAACCATTAGGTTGAATTGCAGAACTGAATCATAATTCCTTGAAAGTATACTGAGAAAAACACACTTAGACAGTAAAGTTAAAGCAAGGTTTCAGTTTCGTGATAACGGAAACCAAATGCAAATTTTAGATTTGCCAGGCTGCAACAAACTCATCTCAGGAAGTTCAGGTCACGTGTAGTATAGTTGGCAATTGTGTGATGGTAAACTCAGGTGGAAGGATGCCTGGCAAAAAAACTTAAAATTTCACTAACTTTAAGCCAGTCTACAATAAAAAAGTCAAATATCATTCTTCAGTGTTTGAGATTAGTTACATATAAGAATTTCCAGTACCAGATCTTACAAGATCTATTTACACTATTTACAAGACCTAAATAAACAAGCTTAATAAATTATGCAGAGCCATTCAATATAATTAACTACATCAGAAAGCATCTTTGTCCTAGATCTTAGGCAAAAGATCCAGTCAGCAAGAGGAGAAGGGAAGCTATTCTTAGATCAGAATTCCAGGTACAGACAGAATTTTAAGTTTATGGTCAGCATAATCATATTGAGGGCAACAAAACATTGGGAGAGTTGAAGTTTCTAGTGTCCTAGAAGGCCTGGGTTGAGTGGCATGGCGTGTCAGGCCGACGGCACYGACAGGGAAGCATTACTTTAACTCATCAGAATTAAGGCCAAGTCTGTAATGCCTGGGTGTTTTGTTCACCTGAAACAAGTAGGACTTATGGCTGTGCTTCTCCTGGAAAAAGCTTAGCAAGAAATTTACATGTACTGCCCAAAGACTGGAGAAAACTCCTGACAGGATTTAAGTTAGAAAGCCAAATGCCTGGAGAAAGGACTTTCTCTGGAAAGAAGGGCATTCTTGTGGACCTTGTCTTAAAGTTTATGGACTAAATCAAATCTTTACAAAATTAGCAGTGACTGGACACATACATGGAGTTTTAATTCCAGTTCACACTGCAAGGTGAAGAGAGGCTAAACTACCTATATTTACATAAAAGCGGGCACAGCTGCAACTGCCTGGGAAATATATTTAGCAATCCTCTTTCCTGCCATACACTTTTACTGTCAGGCTGTAGTCACCTCTTGGGTGCTATGCATTTATGGGCTGTTACCGTAACAAAGATTTCTTTTATATATGTATATGGTTGAATACCTCTTTGGCCTGTTGAACCTATGKTTTTTTTTCCCCCCCATAATATACCTCAAACCATCTCTCTTTCAGTACATAGACTTTAAGTGTGAAAATACTAGTAACAACATAAGCTGTTCATTACCTTTTGTTTCCAGCTCAGGAAAATTCTGGAGTCGGTTCCTCATGCGATTTAGTGCTTGAACTTTGAAGACAACCGGGACGGGATGAGGTCCCAGGGAATTCCATGTGTCCTCTGGTACCTTCTCACCAACGTTGTTCCACACAACAATTACCTTGTGCAGATGTGGAATGGCTTGGTAGTGATTTAACAGTTTTAGCAGCAAGTCAGTCCTGTTGTAAGTCTGCATAATCAGAGTAAATGCATCCAAGGCAGGCTGGCTCGGGGCTTTTGGCTCCCTTTTCAAATTGGGCATTTTGTCATCTTTGATGCTGGGCAGCAAAGCTGTCAAAGCCCCTGCTACGAGGAGTAAGACGATGATCACCACAGAAGTGAAGCGAAGCAGGCGGATTCCCATAACTCTCCCCGGAAGCTTACAGAAGTGAAAATACCTTGAAAACAAGAGAGGAAAAATTATCGGTCCCATGTATGTTTACCCTTCCTCAAAACTCCCACAGTAGTAAGTAGATTTTTAAGTAAGTGAGTGAATAAATAAGAAGGATTTTTAGGACTTGGGCTAGTTGCTATCAGTTATCARGAGATATTTCTGGTACCCTGTTTCTAGTGTTCATTTGATTTTCACACCCACAATTATTTTGATTAACTTTGAATTTCACTGTTCTGTAAAAAGAAATCTAGAATTGTCCTTTAATTCTAAATTGTGTATCATCTTTTTTCCATCTTCTCAATACTGCATTTTTAACTAAACATTTACATCCTTCACCAAGCACATTTTGCTGAAATTAGGRAACAAAACTGTACAGAGCCTAACTTCAGTATTTTCAGCATTACAGAGCTCTGTCTGAGCTCGARCTTTGTTCCTGCTCTAAAAACAAAAGGGAGAGAGGGTCGCTCCCTCCTCAGGAGCTGTGGTAGAAAAGAGGGAGTAAAATGCTCCTACTCTTTTCCACTGCTCAGGCTCCACATACAGAAGGAAAAATCTCAATAATTGGTTTGCTGGACATTTTGTCAACCATTTCTGTATCTGCCTGCTGATGCCTACTAAACGTGGAAAATACTATCCTGATAAATGCTGTAACATGAGGTTAAGGGCCATATATCAGCTGATTCAGCATCGCTCTCAGCACAAAGAGGGAGGTTTTGGATCCTCACCGTTTTGGGCCCAAGTAGCAGCCCTCACAAAGGCAGTGCTGGCAGCTGTGACCCACCTAGGTAGAGTTATCAGTTCTTTAGAGCTCCACAAATTGTAAACTTAACAGCATCCAACAGTCATTGCTTAGCTTAGTTTTCTCTTCAATGATGCATAATATGCATTTGTTCCTCACCATTTCTCCCAAGATCAGGATGAATCAGATACAAGATCAAAATTGAAAGCTTACTCAAAACTGTAAGCTTACTCATCAACAAACATTATTCATGCCACWCCATCACTGCATTTTAGGGTTTCAGTAGGAAATTCTGCTTAAATTAAGTGATCCAGGCCAGTCTCATTAATTACAATTCTTGAGCAAGTGCTTGAGCTTTTCATTATTCACAGTGCATATACCTTGCTTGAAAATACAAATGTAAATTAGTCTAAAACTTACCTCATTGTTGCCAGGCACGACTGCTTTTCCTCGCTTTGCTTTGCAAAGAGGCAGTTTTTTGTGATATTTTAATCTGCYGGGAATCAAATGGACTTTATTACTGAGGATGAACAGTTATCCAGCAGAGTGCCGAGCAGCCTCCCACAGATGCCCATTCTTCCCCGTCCCTAGCAGACGTAGGTGTCCTTGGCAATCATCCCGTCCTGCTCCCTCTTGCCCCTTTGATAAACTGTCCCTGTCTTTCAATAAACTGTCCAGAAATTGGTTATTAGTCTGTTATTTCTCATTAAATTGTATTTTGCGTGTTCCATCCTTRGGGTCAACTACTGAGACAAGCAGGTCTCCAGAAGCTCAATCCAAGTGCCCTTGGCACCACTAAAATACTGGCCATCAGAACAAACAAGCAGTCTCCGTAACAATTCCTTCCCTGTCAAACTCTCCATCTACCAAGTTTTCCAATGGCATTAGAGGCATTTTTTTATTTTTGATTTTTCCTACCTGGTCTGCCACTGAGGCAAAAAGGCTGGAAATGAGAGCATAAGCACAGAAGGTAGAGGCATAAGACAGAAACCCAAGTAACCCAGGTGTGCACAGTTTCCTAGGTTGCCATACGGATTTCTATTCTTTAAATATTCCCTTTCTTCATTCAACTAGCTTTATTTTTGATTTAAGAATGGACCTGTGAAAAAGCAGAGAGCAAACCCTTGAATTTAACAGTTTATATGACAAATCTCCTAGCAGCGCTCTGGTCAGGTTACATAAGCCGCACGCTGGAACCCGCAGGCCCCAGCTCTGCTCCCCGAGGTGCGAGGCCTCGGCGGGGCCTGCGAGCTCGGCCGCCCCGGGGCCCGGCCGCGGCCTCCGGGCGAGCCGGGGCCGCCCTGACACCCCCAGCGCGGCGGCACCTTTCACGTGGCGCTGAGGACGGGGGCAGAGCCGCCGGGGACCCGCCGGGGCCGGACACGGCGCTGCCGCCGGGGCTCCCCGCCGCCCTACCGCGGCCCCCAGCGCGGCGCCCGCTGCCCACGCCGAGCGCTCGCTCGGGGCAGCTCGACGCGAAGCGGCGCCGCCAGCGCGGCCTCCCGGTGCCGCGCGCCCCGCAGAGCCCCCGCCGCCGGCGGCAGCTCCCCTTCCGTAACCGCCAGTGCGGCCTCCCGGTGCCGCGCGCCCCGCAGAGCCCCCGCCGCCGGCGGCAGCTCCCCTTCCGTAACCGAGACGGCCCCGGGGGGCGCGCGGCGCTCACCGGCTGCGGGGCCTCGGGCCGGCCCGGGAGAGGCGGAGCGGCCCCGGCCGGGCCCCGC